AAAAGAAAAGAAAAGAAAAGAAAAGAAAAGAAAAGAAAAGAAAAGAAGAAAATCTTACCCAGGTGATTTCATGAGAAGTTAAATTTGAGATCTCCTGTGCAAATGGTTTGTTAATGAATTATTTTCTTGCCTCCGCATAGCATCCCACTTAAGTACCTAGTATTACCACAGAGCCTACAAGGAGGCAAGGTCACACAGGTAAATAGAAGAGAACCAGCTTCAACAATGTGAGCATAGAGTAAAGCTTAGAGAAAACAGCAAGGAACAAGAATTGCCCACAGAGAAAGCAACCCTTGTCTCCCAGAGAGTGTTAGAAGAAGCAGACAGGCTGAGGAGTATGAGTTTCGAAAGCCCTTCCCCAAGGGAGGCACTTTGAGATCTAATCATAGTTTATCAGCTGAACGCATTGCAGGCGCCACTTCTGTCATTTATCAACATTCAATAGACATTCATCAAACCACATCCACAAACCAAGTACTTACTGATAAACTAGCTGTGAGCTCGCTTACAGTGAAGGAGACCACTGCCAGCCTGTATGATGGGATTGGCTTTGACTCCTGATGCTTGGGGAACAGTGGGGTCCATTGAAAACCAGTGGAGGCTGGTGAAGTGCAGTGTGCAACTGTCCTCAGATAGGATTGATATCAGGAGAGGCCAATAATCCCAGGTTAAAAGGCAAGTTTGCTGCTTAGTTACTGATACAATATACAGAGCTAACAGGCTGGCATGACAGCTGGCTGAAACAGTGTTTGAAGAAGAGAAAAAGATTCTTCGCTAACACTGAACCGGGAACATATTAATTCCAAGATGTATAGTGCAAAGACCAAGATATGGAAATCCCTTCTATGAGAAGGTAAATGGTAAATTGGTTTTACATGAAACACATTTAGAAGACTTTTTGCAAACATTTCTTATTTTTTCCTTTCTAAATATTATTTTTTTCACACCTCCTAGTCAAGCATTTTAACCCATTCAGCTAACCCCAGCATTTGGTATTCGCTTGGTGCCAGACTGTCAGCACCAACCTACAGCTACAAGAGTCTGTGAGGAAAACTTATTTCAGCTGACATTTTTTCTGGACCTTCAAAGCAACAGATCATTCGGGATGCTAAAGAAACTGTTCTGACTTTTAGAGGCTAAAACAATAGTTGTGGGAAGACACTAAAAAAGAAAATTGCTACTTTAAACTCCTACATGGCAACTCCCCTGTCTCCTTGCTTTGCTAATATACTTTCTCAGCCAGGAATGAAATAGCTAATGCTTTATATATTAAATCAAATAACAAAGAGTTTTCAACAACTTAGATAAGTTCAAAAATGCATTTTCTTCATCCAGCATTTGATTATCTTCAGAAAATATGGAGTGAACCCAAACCAATGGCATCCCTCTCAGAATGTTCTAAAACATCCTCAGTACTAATGTGCAGAACTAACTTTTGGCTTTATAGATGTCCTTATTTTAATTGCACAGCCTCTGAGCTTCACATTGTCTCTGTTTACTAGGATGAATGGGGATTATGATAAAAGTAAGGAAAGAAATGTATGTCAATCAATGCTTCGAAATTAACCAACACAGGTCTAGTATACTTTATTAAAAATACTTCAGATAAGAGTATTTCAGATTTTAAAATTTTGAAACATTAGTGTATGTGTAATCAAGTATCTTCTTAATATGACCCAAGTCTAAACACAAAATTCACACACATCTCATGCATATTGCCTGAAAGTAATTTTATACAATATTTTTTAGTAACCAAAGCATATCATGGGTCAGTATTGATTTTTCCACTCACAATTTATAGTATTGTGCCATTTCCCATTGTAGAGGAGTAATCTGTATCTTCTTTGGCATTACATAGATCTACATCTTTCTTCAGACAAACATAAAAATGCAGAGCAATATGTTCACTCATTATTCACTCATTATTTCCATCTTTTAATGAAACTGGAGGTGAGGAGGGCACACTGGCTGTTGTGTTTTACAACAGCTACAACACAGAAACTTTTAACTGGGGCAATTAATTGCTATCTTGACACAGATAAAGAATCAAAGCAGCAGCTGGTGCGGGCATGGGCTCCGCTCCCTACCTTGGGAGCTTTGGCGTGCTTCCCACACCTGGCATCCTTGACAAGGCTGAGATCTAACAGCTCCGTCTCCTGAAAAGCAAAATGGGAAGTTGTTAGGAAACCACACAGATCGTTTATCTTTGTTTTATGTTATTGACATCACTTTAAAAAATATTATCATCTCGGGGTTTGCCTGAGGACTTAACTGCGGTAGGCTACTCATCACCCCCATATTATCTCATTGAATCAGGAGGAAAGAAAAGAGATCATCTCATCATCACTGCTAACTTCTCAGTTTAACACATATTCCAATATATTTGCTAAAGGATCTTTAAAAAGTTAAATGCATGTTTTGCATCCCTAAATCTAAATCCTCTAAGACATTGGTTTTCAACCTCCCTAATGCTATGACCCTTTAAGACAGTTCCTCATGTTGTGGTCACACACACCTCCAACCATAAAATTATTTAGCTGCTACTTCATAACTGTAATTTTACTATGGTCATAATCACAATGTATCCTGATATGCAGGATATCTGATACATGACCCCTGTGGCAGTCACGACCCACAGGTTGGGAACCACTGCTCTTAAGCCATTCATAAATCAAAAGAAATCCAGTTTCTCTGTCCTAATGTTGAAAAGAAATCCTTGAGTCCCTAGCTCAATGCAGTTGGCTGTGAGGGAAATCAAAGATATAAGATTAGGAAGGCCAGTGGAAGGACCTGATCCCATCTGCTTGTTCACAAACCTAATGTGTCTGGCCAATATACAGATACACAAACATACACACACACACACACACACACACACACACCAAATCTGCTGCCAGCTCTGGAAAGCTAACACACAAGGATCGGTAGAATTCCTAGCTTTGTCATTTACACAAGGAGGATGGCAGAGATAGATTCTCAGAGAGGATCAAGTATGGGGAGATGCATACAGGCAGGAATGATGAGCATAAAGCACTCATACAGCAGACATGGAAAGGCATAGATATACATAGCAGTCCATATCTATTAAATGACTGTTTCCCATGGGTAGAATAAAACCTATCTATGCCCACATTATATACTTATCAAAGTTTGATAGTAACACTGTCTATTCAAAGCTTTCCTCTCGGTCGATCAAATGGGCTGAAACATTGCTTGCTTGTTTGTACACAAAACCCAAACTAAGTTCTCAAAGAACTTAGTAGGCATCATTACTTTTCTATTGGAGATAATGAATATTGTTCTGTACTGCCAGCTCCAGGGAAGGTTTCATTTCCCAAGTTGTGGAGTGATAGTTAATGCCAGCTATCCTAGGGATCATCCTGATAGCACAGAGCTAAGAAGCCTCTCTCACTGGTGTGTGAAATTGTATGTTCAGGAAAATCATCAAGGGCACCATGGAGTGGGTAATGTGGCATGAGGAAGACCCAGGTGGAAGTGCTGTTCTTGGGCCCTTTCAGCTGGAAAGAGATGGTTAAAATAGCATCCCCCACTTCCATTTACATACAATACCATTCCTCTGGGGGGTTCATTGCATCTTTTTCTCTCCTCCATGATAAAGAAAATGCAGAACCCAAAGCACAGGACCACAGAACTGTTACTTATGTCACTGAAACTACTTCCATGTTAATTTTCCTGAGTTAATAGTTTTAATGACCCAGTCCATTACAAAGCACTATGTGGTCCCTTTCTTAGCTCATTTGACAGTTGGTGCCTTCTAGCTTTGCAGAACTTGCTGGATACAAATTGTATCACCTATTAAATGGTGAGAATACCACACATAATAGTGGCTTTGAGAATGTAGCTTGGAGTAGAGTAACTTGGAAGGCTTAAAGACATTAAGCCTGAGAATTTGATTTCTAATAAATTTATAACTGGTGCTAATGCTGCTGGTCAAAGGACCAGTACTTTCAGATATGCTAATAAACACACACTTACAGGATGCTGCTGTATGTTTTTAGGGTGAGCATGATGAATAAAGGCTATATAGCAGTTATAAATTATATGAAGTCTCTCTAACACATTTTTTCTATAGGGAGCTGTCAATAATACATACTGAATATAAAATTGTGACTAATAGTGATTAATCTAGGATTGGGTTGGGTATAATTAAGGGAAAACGCCATAAACTTCTAGTTTTGAAAGTTCCTTTATATTAAATTTGCCTTACAAGTAAATATCTTTAAATGTTCAGAAAGTTAAGCAATCATTAAATTGGTGTTATGTCGCTGAATGCCCTGCTATTTGTATAACGCTGAAGGGTCATTAAAGCAGTGAAGTAGAGGTGTTTTCTTTAAGTTCTAAGACCATCCAACTTGCTCAGGTATGTAAAGGGAGAACTCAGCAACAGACATCTCTTTTCAGCCTACTAATCTGGTTTATCCAGGTATGTAAGGCAGCAACAGTCATTTGTTTTTGACCTACTATGGCATCTTCAATGACTAAACCACAGTACTAGGGCCACCAACAAGTGTACTTACATATTGTGCTTCTTTTTACCTTTATAAGTATGGAGAAAATGAATCAACAGCCATCAAAAGTTTGGGGGAATATTGTTTCAGATTTTTGTTTTGAATGCGAATTAAGAAAAGTAAGACCTGTGAGCTAAGGAAAGACTGAATGGTCTCTGATGTATATACTCAGCAGAAAGATTTCAACTCATCAACCACAAACCTACTGTGAGGGAGATGAACCATGAAATCCACTGCAAATTCAGGAAAGAATACAATTTAAAATGGAACTCTTGCAGAATACCAAGTTCTGTGCATTGTTACCAAATTCTATTAGTCACCCAGTATAATAGCATGCTTCAAGTTCACACAATACACACTCAGACCACCAATTACAGCCATAAACATTTCACAGAGAAGATATTAATGGCTGGGTGTGTGATGTGATTAGGTGTACCTCCACATGTGGGATATTCATTAAGCTGCTCAATCTAGGGTCACTAAAACAAAAATCAGTTAATATATTGGCTGCCAGGCATCTTTAAAATTCACAACTGAGAATGTTTCAGGGATCACACAATGAGGGTTTGGAATTAAGGAGAAGCCTGGGCATAGACCCGATTCTGTACTTTTAACTCTATTCTGTTTGTGAAAGGGCAACCTAATGTGTACAGTGCAGCTGTCAAAAATCCCCGCACTGTCTCATTTTCTTTATTTAAACTCACTTAGGTGGACTATAATGCAAGCAACATCTACCTAGAAGGCAGAGAACTCAAGTTTTCTCTTGGAGGTACCACTTGCTATCAACACAAAATGAGGCCGACTGATGCAGATGTTTGTGTACACCAGGTAACCCACATTGCAAACATGGGTGCAGGTGCCAGCAACATCATGGTTATTGGGGTGAGGTCTCTATTTAGCAAGCAAAAGTAATGCATACATATAAATGCTAATGCTTATAACATTTCCCATTTTGAACAAAAAGGAAAAAGTTTGAGTAGAAACATAAGAAGCTGGTTAATTGGTGACTTTTCTGCTGCTGTCATACAGTACCACAACCAAAGTCAACTTAAGGATGAGTAAGTATATTTTGTTGCATGTATTCAGAGGAATGAGTCCATTATTACAAGGGATATAGCATCATGTGGCAGGTATTGACAGTAGGAGAAGGAAGCTTCCAGAGCACTTCTATAGCAGCAAGTATGAAGCAAAGAGCCAAACAGAAGTGGGGAAAGCTTTTTTAAAAGCCCACCTCCAGTAATGTACTTCATCCAGCAAAGCTGTACCTCCCCACAGCCTCCTAAACAGCACCATTAACAATGGGTCAAGTGTCAAGATGCCTGAGCTTATAGTGAACATTTCTAATTCAAAATCTAGAGTTGATAATATATATATATGTATATGTATATGTATATGTATATGTATATGTATATATATACAAATATATGAGAATAAAAAAACAAGATATAAAGATTAAAGATATGTCATAAAAACTTGAAATAATAAGAGATGCAACTTCTAGAGAAAATTGGTTTCACCTTCATGTGCCAAAATTAAATGTGAAATAAGACGAATATTTGCAGTGGAAAAAGGAAAACCTGAGATTATTGCTGTGCTACAGGTTATACTATAATTGTCTATTAATATGGAGTTTCTGGGCTTTTTTTGTATGTGTGTGAACATTGTGACAAAGACACTATGCCACTTCTTCTCCACAACTAGAGTGTTTGGGCTAAGAGTCCAGGGCAGAGGCCATATTCTATCTTTGTTTGTGCTAGGAATGATAACCTGATAAAGATGGTCAATGCTGCCCGACTTTGGCTCTATAAGAAGAAAACCCTGTAAAATATCATTAACTCTCACTTTTACATAGAAATTGAATCTGATATATAGTTAATGAAAACAACCAACAGACATGAAAAAAGTGGCTGATACAGTATCTTAAGTCTGTACCACAATTCCATGTTCTAAAGAACATGTCCAGAACTCAGTGCTTTTCAATGTCACTTTATTTTGGAGTCTGACTGTTACCTCTAGCCTTACTTTCAAATTCTGTCTCAATGATATAGCCAGGAATACAGACAACATAATAGAAAATGTGGAAATTAAAGTTATTTGTATTTTATTCTCTCTTTATTTTCCTTGGCTTTTATACTTCTTCAGAGATAAAGCATCCATCAAAGACGAGGGATCCTATAGACTTTCAAAAGCTAAATCCTGTAAAGAAAAGATAGCACCTTAACAAGCCAGTCACCATCTCTAATGAAATGTTTAATCCTAATAGGGCTCCTAAACAAGAAACACATCTTATAGGCTAATTCACTTTGAATGAGAGATGTTGCAAGGACAAAATAGAAGATAATAAGCAAAGAAGATGAAGCCTAGGGAAATGGAGGGAAGCTGTGGTGACTAATCGCTCGACACCCATGCTGAGCTGTAAGCTGTGGAGTGGTTAGGGGCCTGAATAGTAACTGCCTCTTTGTTCACTTTACACATTCTCCTGTAGTGGCCTGCAATTTAGCACATATTCAGTAAATACTGAAGATATATTTTTGAGCAAAAGAACCCAAGGTTGGCATTATGCCAGTGGGTCGATTTCAGTCTAGATGTCTTCTTCAACAAGTGTTCTTTCACAAGAAGAGTGAACT